TCAAAGATGTAGGTATAAAAGGACACTGAGTGCTTGATTAACCTTTGCAATGGTTGGAGGTTCATTTCGGTAAAAGAACTGATGAACAATTCTTCGTATTGCACAGAATGTAAATTCAACAATTTTATCTTTGAAACTTCGCTTTGGTCCAGATTTTTTAGGAGGAGTTGGCGGCGTACCTACCTTTCTTGACTTCCTTCAAAACGTTACAAAAAGAGCGTGAGGTTATTCCCAATATGTCCGCAACTTTGCTCACACATTCATTTTCTTGCACAACTTCAAAGGCCTCCAATTGCGCAGAAATTTCATTTTTCACGTATTTGTAGGCGTTGCGGATCATTACTTTTTCAGTAACAGTGAAAGCTTTCCGTGGACGATTTTTTCTTGGAGATAAGAAAACATCCACGTCTTTTTGTGATGTACTTGGTTGAGGATCATTCATAGACATTTTGATGGAAAACCAAAACAAATAGATTCACACAACTTGAATTCACAATTAAAGTTCACACAAAAACTATGAACGTAACAACAAACACAACGTAACAACACTCTAAACTTAAAACCCAACAAAATAACGATTCGCAATGAAATAAGATATTCATGCAGTCAGACTGGGAGAATGAAGCCGAATGACATGATAAACAATTCAAAACTCTTTTATTATAAGTTTTGTTTTTAATATAAAACAATAATATTTTACTATACTAATATTATAAAGAGGGTAAAATTTGTAAATTTGTAAGTTTTCCTGAGTGCTATAGGCTATAAAACATCACGCTACGATCAAATGGAGCTAACCAGCGAATGAAACCGCGCGAGAACTGCTAGTTTTTTATGAAAATAAATATAGCAGCGATTACTAATAAATTAATAATACTTAAATAAATACTTAACTATTTATTTAAATCAAAATCTATAATTTAGTCTTGAATTGGCAAACTAAAATAGCACACATACCGATTGCTTATCGATTTTTGTGTTCATCACTACACTGTTATATGTGGTATCATTATTTCACAAAATGACAATAGGTCATGTCAAATCAGGAATCGAATTAAAATTCTGACTATAATACAAAGTATTATATAAAAAGAGTTTCATATTTCAAGAATTAAAACTTCTTGCACTATGGTTACATAAGTCAACTTAATTAATGCCCTAAGCATTTTCTACCAGTCGAGCTTTAGATGATGAAGAGTTGAGCGAATGGTTGGTGCAAGAAGCAAGCAAACTGACAAAACTTTATACAAGATAAGAGATAAATACTTAAAATTAAACCCTAGAAACTTAATATCAGAAAGTTTTTCTTTATTAGCTAACTAACTCCAATATAACTATACTTATAGAGTTAGTTATAGTCTTATAACTAACTCCAATTTTTCTGTCTTCTTTTTAAAATATTCTACTATACAAGGCGTCCATCATCCGTATTTTTCCATTATGCTGTTATAAAAAATATTGTTGTTAATATATTATTCTAACAATTATAGGAAAAACATGATATTACTTCTTCCACCCGGGGTTTGACAGAAGGGAGTGTCAGACTAGCACTGACTAAAAAATAAATAGAACACAGTGGTAAGCGCCCTTTACTTCCTCTGCTAGCGTATGGGCAACTACTTTAATTGCAACCGGTGTAGAGAAAGATATGGATCATATTTACGCAGGTTGAAGACAAATTGAATGCAGTTAATAATTATCAAAATTAATGAGAATTCCTTTGCCACAGGAACCAGAATAAAATGGTTTTGAAACATGCTACGAATAATAACTGCGCTACACCTTCAACCTATTCAAGCGAATTTGCTGGGATTTTTACCTGGCTGCCTTTTTTAAATTGTCCCATTTTAGTTTCGATTGCGACTTTTGTTTTGGGAAAGAGAGCATTTTGCTTTAAACGCTGCCACCAAGAATGTCCACGCTTCGTCTTTCAATTTGTTTGATGCAGCGTTTGTTTCCCTACTAGATAAAATGGGTCAGTTTGGGATTAACTCCACAAAATAAGAGACTTCATCTCTCGTTAGGCTTTTTGCTCTTCTGTTCTTACAATTCACCATAATGTTACCATCGCTGAATTAAAGCGTAACAAAGAACAAGATTACTTACTGGTGTAGTAGGTATCAATATTTTGTGATTTGTGTGAGTAACCACTAGTTTTTATTTAAAGTATTACAAATTTATAGAATTAGAAAGAACAAACCCGCAACTAAACGAATCGACGCTCTGCTAGAATCAGTTGACAGGTTTTCGCGGGCTTGCGGTAGACTCGGCGTCATTTTCACGTTTTGTTCGCACTTAATCAACAGTAGCAATTATGTTTAAAATAAAAGTTGTAAAAGACAATATACGCTCATTTATTTTGGAGAGCCTATATAATTTGGTAAAAACCTCTGCAGAACGTCGAAAGAGTTGAATTGGTCTCGAATATGGTGACGCGCTATCCTTTTTGCAGCCCTACAACGAAAAAAGTTAGGTTAGGTCAGCTTATTATTTATACTTATGCTTATACCATGTTACGCTAAATGCATTTAACGTAAGTCACTCCGACTGGTTTTATTAGGTATTTCTCCTGTGTAAGTACGAAGTTTAAAATCAGTGTGGAATAGTCTTCTAATATTCAGTTTCCTATAGCCTCGTATTGACATTGACGTAAATGTTGCTCCAGTATCAAATTCCATTTTCAGCTTTGCGTTCTCGATATGTACCGATATGATGAATTTCTCAGTTCTTTCGCCAGATATTATATTGTTGTTGTTTCAGTCAATGTAATTGCTATTGTTCGGTTCTTCTAGTTGGTATGAATTGGATCTTGGTGCCTTGTAGCGCAGATTAGAGTTTCGTTGTTGGGAAACGCGGGCAAGATGGCCGATTTTATTGCATTTGCGGCAGGTGATATTGCTGGCGTTACATGTCCTGGTTTCATGGATGTTTTGTCTTAAGTTTGAAGTTTTAGTTCGATATGTGTTTGTAGAAACTTTTTCAATACTGCCGTTACTCGTACTGGGTAATATAGGTATGCATTTGCAGCAAATTCTTCAGATCGTATCTGATCTGAAGAATTTTATTTGGAAATCACGGCTTATACAAGGGTGTAAGACCATAGCTGGGACTCCACGGGTTCTCGAGATATTGAAGGTCAAAAATGCATTTTTAAATATTTTTTTTGCGCAATCGTATTCTAAGTATTCTTACAAAACTTTTTTCCAAACAAACATTACCTGAATTTTCGATTTTTCTAAATAAATTACGCATTTGAAGTTACGAACAGTAATGTACGTAATAAATATCTGCGGACCCGCACAAAAAACATCGTGCATCTCAGTAGGATTTTTATTTTACAGAATTGTTTTGTTGTTGCGAAGTAAAACGTCGACCTACGCACACAATGACAAGAAGCCCGTTTGCTTTACATTGCGCGCAATAATTTTTTTTTTTTTTTTGATAAAAAGTCGTTTCCCAGTGATAATTTTAGCGTAAAACTACTTAGTTAGAACTGCAATATTGCGTAGTTAACGGCTTCGTTAAGTGTCTTTTTACACCCTGTATTTGTGATATCCTTTCCTGTTCCTGTTTCTACACCTCAGCTCGTGGCCCACCAGTAGACTGTATCTTTATATGTGTGCAGTCAACTGCCCCGATTACATTTGGAAAAGAGCTTATGTTGTAGAATTCTGTTTTTATCCTAGTGTGATCTTGATGTTAACAGGGCATAGAAATAAACTGTGTCCTAAGTTCATTCATTAATCGCTGCAGATACTTTTGTTATTATATTCTACAAGCCGTAGATTTATGCATTCTCTGCAACCGTAATTTGAAATGCTCATGTAGCATAATAGCTTATTGTCAGTAGCACCTATTCCAAAGCACTGATAAAATCGTTTCTCAAAGTGAACTGTTTAATTTTCGGCTCTAACATGTTAACTAGTAACAGCACATTAGCCTTTGTCAGTCGGTACCGATTCTTGAATTCCTCTTCATTGTAGAAATCAAACGGATTCATTCTGGTCTTAAATCTTCATCGCTGCTGCATGTCCTGATACCTACTCATCATGCTAATATCCGAAAGAGACATTATCGTAATCTAAAAGAAGAATCGATGTAGGTAAGTTAATCAACATGTGAAATAATTTACACTTACAAAGAAAATTGTATTATTACAAATAAAATTGCGTTATACATATATGTATAGCATACCTTAAAAAAGTAGGTATGTTTGAAGAGAAAATGCAGACTCACGTGAAAAATCAGTTGTATTCATAAGTTATTTCGCCAACAAGCACCGATTAGTTGACCGAGCTTTTGACAGACGAATAATCTATGATCACGGCTGGACCAGCGTTTCAGAAACCCAAAATTGCGATTACCTACCATTCGATTCTTGAGTTTATTTGACAGCTGTGTCAACTGACACGATAATCCAATTAGTTATTTACCTAATCAAATATTTGACCAATTGACATTTGACAAGAAATTTAACAGGAGATTAGTTACTTTTAGCGTTGATCAGCCTTTCTTGACGAGCCTTTCGGAAACCGGGTATTAGTGTTCTGGTGATAATGTATATATTATTTAATCGACAATAGACTTCTAGTCTTTTCTCAAGGTTGTTGAAAGTTTCTGATGCTCCTAGTGGTTGAAATTGTATTTTAGGTATGCTCTCACGTATCTGCTGCTGGTCATGGATCTGTTGTTCATTATGATGTTGCGCTCGCTGTTGTTCTTGTTGTCATTGATTACGTTTCTTTTTCGTTAATAGTTTCGTGATAATTGTTGTATACAGCTCATCGAAACCGTTTCTATGTTCTTGCTCGTAAACGGTCTCCTCATGCTGGTCGACGGTGTGGCCTTCGATCGTTTGTTGAAGCTCTCGTAGAGATTTCATTGCTGTATTAAGACCCTCAGAGCGAGCATCGATGTCTTCGTCAGGCATCGACGCCCTCGATGTTAAATACTTTTCTATTTTACTGAGTAACCCTCTTTGGGTACTTTGTTGTTTTTTTTTACTTTTTCCATGCTTCATCTCGTGATCGTGGGTTTAGGTAAAACTCGTCGTCAACATTAAATATACCTACATAAAGAAATAAAATACATTGTTGTCTATACCCCGATTATTTTATTAATGACAATGTTGACAACTTATTGATTGTAATTTATAAGTGATAAACCACAAAAATTTATTCTCTCCATCTAAAAAATCATTGTCATCCATACATTATGACTTTAATTCGGTCTTTGAAGTCTACTGAAAATTTCTTTAACCACTGACCTTCGAAATATGTTGTAAAAGCTTTAAGTGCCCTAGTTTGTGAAGCACCTTCTAAAATCGATTCCCAAGAGACAGCTAAGACGGTTCTCCGCCTCTCCGGAGATACGAGAGATAGCCGAGGATTATGCGTAGGTATACCTGTGGCCCTCTGAGACTCAATCAGTGGGGTACACGAGATGGCCTCCGCCTCAAGTACGGTACCCATGCAGGACATACATATACACACCCATATAGAGGGCAAGGAGTTCACGATCCTCAGATACAATGTCTGGCAGGAGGCGTTTGCCCCCAGATAGAGAAGGAACCACTTGAGCACAGCCCCGGCAAGTTCCAGCTTTGAAGCCAAACGTATAATGCTTTTATCAATGACAGGTATCGTATATGACTCTTTGCTTGCATCTAATGTCTGGAACTGTAACATTTTCACATGCAAAGGCATACAAATAAAAAAGCGTATTCAATGGGATGTCATCAGCACGAATTCTACGCGAACGAAGTTGCGGACAAAAGTTTTTTTTATACTGTGGTAGCTATTAGCAAAACTTTCATATTTTTTAGTACATGCAAATATAAATGTCCGGGAATTATTTTGCGCTAGTGTTTTGTCTTTTACTTTCAACAACTACTATGACAAAGTAATTCTACACATGCGTCAGTACTTTGTTGACTCTAAAGGTACGTGAGTCTCAAATCAGGAACTAACATCGTATTTGGTAGTTTAATTACGTACGTAGAATCATCGATTCATGCGTGCAATCTTAGTGCACCCTTACATTATACTTTTTTGGCCGGTCGTTTAGATGCACAAATCGCTCCCAATTTCAATCACAATCGCCGAGAAGAGTGGAAGTCGCTTTAATTAATTCCTAAAATTAACTCGGCCCTAGCTTTGGCATCTTTTGAAAGCCAACGTTTCCTCTGCAATTTCTGCTGGTCTTGGAATTTTGCCGTCTATGTAATCCTGTAAGTCATTATAGCTAAAGTTGAATGAATTGAATGAATGAATGAATGAATTCCTGAATTCTCCAGGAATCATAAGTACTTATATTATTTGTCTCTGCCAAGATTTTTATTCTCATAGTTGTAGTCATTACCAATTCTCCAATTTAACAATACGGGCAATCAGCAAAATTGTACTCTTTTCGAACATAATATTTGAGAAAATTTATTATTTTTCAAATTGGATAAAAATGTGGTAAAAAATGTGGTAGGGCATTCCTTGTATATTATATGCAAATGTGAGATTAACCTGACCATCTCTCTTCAACCGGCAGCCTAGACCTGAATTCTCCAGCAATGTGCTTAGTGGTATTAACTTATTAAGGCTAGGCAGAATCAAAGCGGACTCAAACTATTCAACCTGGAATATACCACGTTCGATCCTTACAGGTTCGCTATTCCTTTGAATATGCGGATCATCATCACCGGATAGCGAAGGACCGTAATACATTACATTACATACACCACCTCATACAGGACATCACGAAGGTGCTTAGTGTTGTATCAATATCAATTGAGTATGAATTGAGTCATAGGACTTCTATTCATCCATCAGTCCGCGACGAAGAGCCACTGACAGTAGGTACCGGCCGGTTGCCACTCAAGAAGTTCCAATAACGACTCGATTGCGACATATATATTATGCTGTTGTGGACTTAGCATGAATTTGTCAGACCCACTAGAAGGCTTTTTGAAAAAAAAATAATCCTAATTAACCTTGTACTTAGCTTTCTTTTTTTAAACGGTTTTATTTAGCTCACCTTTATTCTTTCTTGGGTCAAATTTAGTAATTCAAATTTCACCCTCTTCCTGTCAACCGATTAATCTGAAATTTTGTATACACTTTTGCTTTTGGTGACAATACAATTATGTGTAATCATAACAATTATAAATCCAAGATGGCGGCCGCTACAAAATGGCGGGTAACGTGGGTTTTATCAATCCCATCAATATGAGTATCAAATGAAAGGGCTCAACGAGCAGAATACAATATAGCTACTATAAACAATTTAAATCCAAGATGGCGGCCGCTACAAAATGGCGGATAACGTAGGTTTTATCAATCCCATCAATATGGGTATCAAATGAAAGTGCTCAACAAGTAGAATAAAATGCACTATAAAAAATTAAAATCCAAGATGGCGGCCGCTACAAAATGGCGGATAACGTGGGTTTTAACAATCTAATCAATATGGGTATCAAATGAAAGGGCTCAACAATGCGAATACAATTTACTATGCAAAATTGAAATCTAAGATGGCTGCCGCTACCAAATGGCTGATAACAATTTTTTATCAATCCCATAAATATGGGTATCAAATAAAAGGGCTTGACAAGAAGAATACAGTGCACTATACAACCTCAATATTTAAGATGGGCGCAGCCACTAAATGGCGTATAATAATAAGATTTAAAATTAAAAATTGAATCTGTAATTTTGGTATAATTTATTTATATTTAAGTTTGGGAGACCCATGCTTCGGCACGGATGGGTCGGCTCGACCGGAGTTATACCACGGCCTCACAAAAACCGGCGTGAAACAACCACAACGTTGTGTTTCGCCGTGTGAGTGAGGTTACCGGAGGCCCAATCCCTTCCCAATCCCTAAAAGGTCGGCAACGCATCTGTAACTCCTTCTTTGTTGCGGGTGTCCATGGGCGACGCTGATTGCTTACCATCAGGTAATCCGTATGCTCGTTTGCCGTCCTATCACATAAAAAAAGGTATCTGATTAATCCAGCCTGAATCCACCACCCACGTCTCAAGACTTTGTATCGTGTTGAGGACTGTGTGGCGTTAGGGTGGCTAAAAATGATACGTCGTTAGCGGTACACCACCCAAGTTAAAAGTTAAAACGCGCTGAGGACTGTATGGCATTAGGGTGGATAAAAATGATATGTCGTTACCGTTTTCCCCTCAAGACTCAGGCACATCTTGTTGTACATAGCCTTGCCCCTTTATTGGACTTCTGGGGTAGACAATTTTAATATCCATTACTCATGGCAACAAACTGGTAAAAAAAATGAAAAAAATACAAACACAAATCTTAGTAACGTCCATTCTCTGTAAGACAATGGAACGTGCAAGCCAACGTGGGAGCCAATGACATCTTAAGTGACCGACAATACGAGTGATGAGAGGTGATCCTCTAGCGTATGCCATCCACATCTGGAGCGAGGCCATCGAGAAACACGGGGAAGCGCTTGCCGTCTCCCTTGACATCTCGAAGGCTTTCGATAGGATATGGCACGAAAGCCTTATTAGTAAGATTCCCTCATTCGGTTTACCTACTGGATTGTGTGTTCCAAACTTTCTGAGGGATTGGTCCATCCGTGTGGTCATCAATGGTTGTTCGTCGAGTCAAATGACCATCAATGCTGGGGTCCCTCAGGGGTCAGTGCTCTCGGCAACATTGTTTTTGTTGCACATACATGACCTGCTTAAGCCCGGTCTTTTTGGGTATGCAGACGACAGCACTGTTGCTGAGAGCTACACATCCGGCGCACAAGCCAGTGGGTCACAGATCCAGTCTCTTCGAGAGGCTATGGTTGGGCACTTGAACTTGTCCTTGGAGGCTGTCTCTGAATGGGGCGATGCCAACATGGTCAGGTTCAATGCAGCTAAAACTCAAGCTTGTCTATTTTCTGCTAAAAGGAGTCAATTTAGTCCTGCTCCAACTTTCCGGGGTGTATCCGTGCCGATAACTGACCATCTTGATCTTCTTGGTATAACGCTGACTTTTAACAATTTTGGGCCATACATCGAAGCAAAACCTCAACTGGCTGCAAAAAAGTTGGGAATCCTTGCAGAGTGAAGGTGATATAAATAGTCGATTACAGAAACGACGGGAACAATCAGGTGGCTCTTAGAGGAGTAAGATCTTTGCAGGGACTACGTATAGAGGAGTTGGACTGCAATACATTAACGGGCAAGAAACCTTGCAATAATGAAGTATGAAATGAATTAAACAGAATGCGAAATAAAAACTAAAAACTAGAAAATAAAAATAGGTAAAAAAACTTTTTAAGTTAAACGGTTTTATGTTAAACATACATTGCAATGTTTAAGATAAATGTACTAAACACCAAAAAATAATAAAATAGATACAGTCGTGGGAATTATAAACATATGCATAGACTAGACTAAAATAAAACCGTGGGGCACGTCAATTGTCTACAAATCGCGCTTTAATTCGTCGTTAGGTAGTTGACCCGCAGACGGTGAGGAATTTACTTACTATTTTCTTGCTCATGGAAATTCCAATAGTTATACACTCCATGTAAATATAATAAACGTACTACTCACTCACGACTATGAAACCCTAAAACTCGTTTCCACATTCTAGCGCTACTTATAACAAGTCCATCGTTGACAGTTGAACAACTGCCTAATTATCTATTGTACATTACAAAACAAACATTTTAATAACGATTGTAGACAATTGACGTGCCCCACGGTTTTATTTTAGTCTAGTCTATGCATATGTTTATAATTCCCACGACTGTATCTATTTTATTATTTTTTGGTGTTTAGTACATTTATCTTAAACATTGCAATGTATGTTTAACATAAAACCGTTTAACTTAAAAAGTTTTTTTACCTATTTTTTTCAAAAAGCAATGGAAAGGAATAAATAAAACTAAATTTGTTGTAACTTAATTATAAAAAGTAATGTTTATATTATGGCTTACATATTATTATAATAGGTACCTTCATATTTCAACAGTGAGCACTTAAAAATTAAAATGCTTAAATATAATAAATACACCTACCTACGTGTAACAAAATGATATAATTGGGTAGTTTCCTATGTCAAAAATAAATTAATTCGACGTTTCAATACAACAAAATATGGAAAAATAATTATACTTTTATTCATAGATCGATCGATACACAACTAATTTTTGATATTTTTTAGCTAAATTTAAGAAATAAGTAAGGTATTTAACCCAAAAATACTATGACGTTATAACTCAGTGTTTCATACAAATTTCATAAAAAAAGTATCGTTTTTGTCATTTGGATAAAAGTATTGAATTTGACTAGTCGGCAACTACCGTATTAATCACATTATCAACATTTGGATTGTATAATGGTACATTAATTGTCAAAAATAAAAAGTCAAAGGAATACTGAAAGAACAAAATTTCAAATTTACTGCGCAGGCACGACGACCTGATTCAGTTTTTTCAAAGCTTTGTTTAAATAATTATATACCTACAGATGTTAGCCGTCATAAACGTTATACTTTTGACGAAAAATTGTGATAAAAATAAATTACAAAATATAAGTAAAAATAAAAAAATCATTAGTCCATTAAATTATTTTATAATATGATGAGAAGAATAGATTTATTATACTTAATGCTTTTTTAAAATTCACTTGATATATTTATTTTTAATATTTCATACTATAAAATGCAATTGCCGATTTAAGACAATTAAAATTTAAAAGGAATTCAGCTTGAATTACGGACCATCAGAGCCACAAAGCTGGATACATTTTTAATGTTTAAGAAATAAAAGGAATGTCAATATTTGACTGGAATGTTGGTGTATATTTATTTGTTTTCTCATAACTTCTGGGCAAACATCCTAAATTGCTACATTTCATTAAAATGACATAACTTGTAGTGGCCGTACTCAGTGTCAATGAAAAGGTTTAATAAGTATATTTCATAAAAATTGAGATCAACTCCTAAAAACAGGTACAGATAATGCATTGTATAGAAAAGATTTGAAATGTATGAAACGAGATAACAGTCGCCTCAAAATAAAAGAATATTTTAAACAGAGCTAAATTTTTTGTGTAAATATGCTTATATTTAAGCATTTCATTTCAATTCATTTTGTGTCGAGTATCTGAATAATAATATACTTTTCCTAACATAGGTCTACAGGAAGAAATTGCAATAGCAATAGAGATATAGCATCGATGTACTTGATTTTTTAAATGCGTTACTCTTTATGCTGTATCTATCTGTGTATATTCAAACTAATATTATAAAAGCGAAAGTAACTCTCTCTGTCTGTCTTTTCCTCACGTCTTAATTACTGAACCTATTTGTGTGAAATTTGGTACTTACAGAAATAGGTTGGAAATCGAGATTTTTGGTTTAAAAACTATCCTATGTCCTATGTGTATGTATGTGTAGGATAGTTTTGAAACCAAAAATCTGCAGGAAGTCTTCGCGAACAGAGTCGAGGGCAAAAGCTTGTAATAAATAAACTAAGTCACGTGGGCATAAGATAGCCCTCTATAAATGTCGAACCCCTGACAAACATATGCGGATAGGCCCGATTCACAGTGAGAATATTATAGCTAATTATACATTTTTTATAGCCAAATGATGCTGTTAAGCCGGTGGCATTTTAATTAATGTTGTTACCCAACTGATAGGTGTCGTCGTAACTTTACGTCACTTTGTGTTAGGCTGTAGCAGCCACAGTGTGCTAAACAACGCATACCTGTACGGTTATACCGGGTAACTTAATTTTACACTTTCAATTACTTAATTTTTTTGTTATCATCATGGAGAAGCGAAGTTAAATGAATATTGATATGATTTCTTACAACGTTCGACATTCATAACTACACCTAATACTATCCTTAAAAATTATCTTAATTGATACTTTACATTTGTTTTTGTGATTCTAGTTGTAGAAAAGTATTAGATATGTGTAGGCAATTTGAGTACTGTTTTGTACACTTAGGTACAGTTCGAAGCTCGCTGCTGTCGCCATGCTGCGTGAAAACCAGCAGCAGAATCCGAATCAGAGTCCCCCTCTTCACTTACCCCGATTTGGGCTCGAGGCTGGAAATAAAAATGGAATAGCTTTATTATAATATTTATATAATATTGTGATTTATACCTTTATTATTTTCAGAGACTACGATATCGTATTATGAATACTTGCGAGAATATATGAAAAAAAAACAAAAATGATCTCTCCCCGCCAGGGTGGGGTGAAAGTCAGACTCTTATTGACTTAAAACCCCCCGGTTCCTTTTCCTGTTCTAATTTTGCTACACGTGGCAAAAAGTTTCGCGAAAATCACACTATTGCACGCAGCCTTGAGGGAGCGTGAGGGCGGATAGCACCAGTGTTCACAGACAAGGAGTCAGAACATTCACGATTGACACGTCTTTTTAAAGGAGTTTCTCGCGAATCCTATGAGAAGGAAGTTTCGAAATGAAGCGCCAAACCCGATCGTAGGCTTTCGCAAGTTTCCCCTTTAGGCTCGATCGTCTGTACCAAAAGGTATTTCAGGTAAACTGGAAGATCATCAGCGGAGCGCCCCTAATGGAAACTGCATTGGCGCTAATAAGAAGCTGATGATTCTCCAAGTACCGAAAGAGTGGCATTAATGGACTCCATTATTTTCAAGAAAGCTGTAGCCGAAGAATAGGAGATTCATACACTTCGTCATAAAACTAGTGCCAACTCTACTAACGCACTTCTTCAACACAATTGGTTAGGCCTGCTCGACCTAAGGTTGTCAAGGAACGTGGGCGCTAAACTTACGAGCGCTGGTGAAACCAAATAACCTGCCAATGTGCAGAGGCGGTAATGATGGCCTGCAGAAATTTGTCTTTCGATAGGCGAAAGATCAAAACGCACGAGTACCCGAATAATAGCGTTCAAGCCTCTCACCGACTTGACCCTCGCTTTATTTGAAAGTATCTTGTGGCAAATTTATAAATACTTTTTTTATGCTGGTATTTAGCGACTGACTGTCGTCGTGGTGACCTGGAGGTACGGAGTACCTGTGTGACTATTTTCGAGTTATATGTACTTTCTATGATTGACACCACTGACATAGTTTGTAATCCCCAATCCACCTTGAGCAAGCGTGGTGAACAATGCTCAAACCAGCTCCGTGCGAGAAGCAGCTCTCTCGCCATGGTCAGACTAGAGAAGTGATTTTCCTCTCTGAAGAAGACTAGCAGTAGATGGCAACTAGTTTTTAAAGATTATTAGTTTAGATGGTAAGACTTAAAAAAGCAGTTTAAGGATATATACTTGGTCTGGTGTGGAGGGTGTACTACGACTATGTGCTGCTCCTATCCCGCGCCGACCGCTAGCCCCACGTCGCCGGACTTTGTTGTTGTTGGGGGGCGGCATTAGCTTGTCGTCCTTCTGTTGAACACGTATGTTTAAATTGTCACAGTAAAAATTTATAGAACATAATGTTTTTTTTTATGTTATGAATTTTTCTTATGTAGTGAAGCACAGCAGTTTAAAACGACAACAGTAATATAAACTGTGATTTCTTTAATTATGAAAAAGCATGTTTTTATAATAACTATCGTGAGACATACTAAATTAACTAAAATCGCGGGTTAGTTACGTGTGTAATTGAGTCGCGCAGCCTACTCTAGTCAGGTAGGCTGCGCGACGTCACCGCGTCCGCGCACGCTGCTCATGAGGAAGAACCCCTCTGTGGTTCGAAACTAGTAGAGCTTTTCTCAATTAAACAAGTGATTTTTAGTTAATTTACGAAAAAGCAATGTAATATATGTACCTGTATATTGTCGGCAGAGCCCCAACTCTTAAGTTGGTCGCTATCGTCGGACCGTCGTTCTTCTCGAGCTGACTTAGGTACATAGGCTGAGGACCTAGTTGCCCCCACGCCTAAGAAGTTACTAAATGCCTCCGTAGTTTTCTTGACTCTCACGTTGAGAGAACCGATGCGGAGAAATCCTTCTTTTTCTGTGAAGAGTCACTTTGTATTTAAGCGTTTAATAACAGATAGTGTTTATATTTCAATATTTGTAGGAATAACATAACTATAGAATTATATACACATATATCTATGTTATAACATACTTTGTCTCTTTGATTCACAAAAAGTTAGACTATATTTCAAGAACATGTAAAAAGGTTAAAAACACCTTTTTAACATAACTATTGCTGATTGTATTTTTTAATTTAACAATTAAGCTACTTTCTTTGTTTACGTATTTACATAGCATAAATAGGAATTTAATTTATAATTATATTTCCGCTTTTGAAACCAAAAAGTTATATTCGATCTGGGAATATCGTTGATGGTGAAAATTTTACTTACTACGAGTAAGCTTGATCAGCGCTCGATGCTTTCATTAAGATCAAGATATATAATATATAGACCCAACTTTGATAACAACATATTAAGTAGGTATTTACAAAACAAACATATTGTGCACATTACTTATTGATCTGTAAATGCTGGGCCTTTTTGTTTTAATAATAATATATATTTTTTATTTGTCTTCAGTATTGTTACAGGCAATAAAATCAAAATTATTTTGTATACCTACGAATACTGTATTTTTCAATAAAAATAAATAATGTATGATTAAGTAAGCGTGCGTGTTAGTTCATTTTGCAATTATCTATATCTATCTTATTTTACAACAAATATCACAATGTTTTGTTATAAATGACAGAATTTTTGTGTTACTCGCTACAGGTTTTATATTTACAAGAATGCCTATAAATCACCACAATGTCAAACATCTATTTGGTATGATTGTTTGATGCCACTGGTTACTTTACAAAATAATGCCATGTATATATTTCATTAGACAACGATTTACAACAAGAAAGTGTAAGTTCCATAACTACGCATATGCTTGCGGCATTGGCTTGCGGTTAAAATAAATTGTAAAAGATGCAAATTCGTATGAAGTGCTTAAAATATTCTTACTTACTCTAAATCCCAATAACACAACCACTTACGCATTTAGTATCTAACTAATTACTATAAAGATGATAAGTTAAGAAGGCCGCAACCCGGAGATGTGCACGAAGAATAAACCATAATATCAGTCATATCAGTCTAAGTGTGCGCATAATAAACATTTTGAGAGGATATTATGGTTTACTAATAAGAACAAAATTTACACAATAACACGCAAGTAAGCACTGTGAGGACGCAGACACGTTTTAAGTATCTTACTTGATTGCGCATTAATAGCGTTCGGAGTAACTCTTATGACCGGAGGAGAAGTAACTGTCCGACGTAAGTCATATGAATCGGCCTCTGTAAAACATTTCCTGTATAGACACCGTCGTTCGTCGCCCCTCTATTTGCTGTTTATTAAAGAATAACAAAATGCTACCCTATTCTAAAGCTTTTGTTTAAGACTAAATCTAAAAATACTTTTATTATATTACAATATTTAAAATGATTTAGAGGAAGGTTGCAAAAAATAGGAAGATATCGATGAAAATGAATAAACCTGTCTTAACTCTGCCCTTTGGATTAAGTTTATTTTTTAAAGTATCATTAACGATCCTTCTATGAACGACGTCTTTTAAATCATTACGCGAATGGGTAAAAGTATACTGATAAAATGATACCCTGGAAGGCCATCGCTATATTCGGACCGTTTTATAGCTATATGTTCCTATTGACAAAGTATTGACATGTATATTATTAAGTGAAGTGAAATTGGATTTATCGCTTCTAAAAAGTTTGAATAGGCACAGCTAGAAGAACCAGAAGTTCTTTATGACTCTTATAGAATTTTTTTCTTGTCTTCCGTGGTGTAAATGTATTATATGATAATAATTAGTTCGTTTATTTAATTGTTTTCAAATTGTTATATATAATTACTCGGTAAAACATATTCTTGTCGCTTCTGCGACCTTCCTCTAATTTGTATGAACTAGTAGATAATAAGCACCTATGTATAGATTTTTAACAAAAAGAAAAGAAGAGTTACTAAATTATTAAAGGAATACAATATATAATTTATAAGTATTAATAAGATTTAAGAAGATATGATTTGGTGATCAGCATACTTCTGTATGATCCCGGGGACAGTGATGTGTCCATGTGGACAAGATACTGTCTCGGTTTCCTGCCCGACCAGTCACGAACATTTGGGTCTGCATCTGTAATGCAAGCATTTTTATTTATTTAATAAGCATCAGTATTTATTCCGGCTTATTTAAGTGGCAGAAGTTGCTTATACCTATTATAAAACAAATGGCATACATGGCATAGCAGCTTCATCTGAATGTATTTTTTTCGAGAATGACATCCAAATCATTTTATGTTACCGGCCAAGTCAAGAAGTACTTAGGTATTAACTTCTTTTTATACACATGACGGCGCAAGCAGGTCGCGTCATATAATCGATTGAAGATTGAGAAGAAGATGAATGAAAATCTTTGACAGTTTATTGTAATTTATGGACGAGAGTGTAGCAACCCCGCTCTTACGGAACGTTGGAGTAACGTGGTCGCCATCTTGACCGACACATTGGTCGTGACAAGAGGGTGAACGCACGTCACTCAAACGGATCGTTAACGTCCTAAATTTAAATATATTTGAATCGTATTAGATTTCAATCTTTAATTGATTGTGATCATATTAAAATTATTAGATTGCTTCAATATTATAAATTACACGTATAATTCTGAATTTTACTTTAAAATTCCCGCGCCTACGTAATGGAAGAATCGACTAAGGATCCTAACAATGGCGTTGTTTATGAAACGCCTTTACACATATTACCTATTTTCAATGGCAACATAAACTTTGTTTCGTTTGTGGAAAACCTTTCTAGTTTTTCGTAGTACATAGGTGGCAGGGTGTCCGTAAAAGCAACTTTAGTTAATTTCGTAGCACGCCATCTACCTATTTTCAAATGAAGCACTGAACAATTTATCTGTGTCGCGTCTGCCAGAGCTATATACTACTTTGCAGCTTCAACTGTTTTGGCTTTGGTTTAATTCACGCAGGGATCACTAGATGGTGCTCAAAGACTATTTAGATTTATAATGTAACTAATGTAACTAGCGACCCACCCCGACTTCAAACGGGTGCAATGCTAATACTAAATTTCTCCACACACTTAACGGATGTTATTATAAATATAAACCTTTCTTAGAAAAACGCATCAAAATCCATTGCGATTTAAAGATTTAAGCATACCTTCAAAGTAGAGATTTAGGGACAGAGAAAGCGACTTTGTTTTATAATATGTAATGATAACTAAATTTACATAATGAACTATTTCATTACATTTATTAATGATATACACAGAAGCGATCCAGAAATTTTGAAAGAGACTTATAAAGTAAATTTTGCAATTTGATAAAACTAAACTAACTACTATATCCGTGTGGAAAAATAAGGACCCTGTTGCTTGTCTTGATTCGCTATCCGATCAGAGTTTCTAACAATACTTAAATGTAATAATTGTTTTTATGGAGGCGTACCTATTTATAGGCATTAAACAAAATTTAGATCAGCAATTTGGCAGCCAGCCAATAAGCCCTTGTTAAGCCATAATTAAAATGATCTACCCAAGATTGGACATTAGGTACCTAACCATAAAATTAGCAAATCAATAAATATGTTTTCCTGTTTTAATTATTAGGCCATTTTTTTAACTGTTTGTACGAAATTGCTATTGTTTAGTCACAATATTTTGTAAAACGATCCGAGTAAGATTTTGGTATTTATTATTTTATTTCTTTACAACTCTTTCCCCCAAAATCCGTATTGCGGTTTGCTTGTTGCCACATTTGATTCTGAACTGTTGTTAGGTGAAGAGGTATGTTAATATAAATCACAGTCTTAATTAAAATTTTATCTTTTGCATAGAATAGCTAATTCAGTTATTGTGAAACAGGTCCTTAACAAAGGTGGAACGTTGTAATTGTGCATCATACATATTGAGTATTCTTAAATCCTGAAAGTTTTGAAAAACCTGTAAAGACCAATTGTCCAGTCATTCTTTCAAGTCCAAAATCATGGAAACTGTAACTGTATTTTGATGTAACTTGGTACTCATGTGCAATACGCCAAGGTCTAAAGCTTTAACAACATCGATCACTAATAATCTTTATTAGTGATCGATGTTTAACAACTATACCTTTTCGAAATATCGTTTTATTGAGCGGCACTAAGTTTCTTAGTTCTAATTTGATATTAAGTTTTATATACAATTTTGTCAGGTTTTGGGTTTTATATCAAATCTGGTATAAATGTGTTTATTTTTATTTTGTTGCAGATTTTTTAAATGCAAAACAAAAACTTATTGGTTATTAGATCTTATGGAAATAATATTACAATGAAGACAGGTCTCCAAAACTATTTATATGAAAAGACAGATGTTTTTAATACATTAAATAAAATACACACGAATATAAACATTATCAAAAATATATCTAGGTAAACCCCTATTATTTATAAATACCAAATGAAATACCTACGTTAGGATTGGAATGAAAAAATTAAGTAAGTTAAAAATTACTCATTACCTTACGTGTAGTATAGTGTGTAGGGGCCTAATATTTTTTGTAACCGTTTATTTTACCACTTTCTTAACGTATTGATATACTTATTGGTGCCAAATTTCAGCTTTTTAGTGCTAACGTTCACTGAGATTATCCGTCGACGAAAAGAGAGACATGGCGAAACTGTAAGAGTTCATAGTTGACTACGGAACCGTAAAAAGCGTTCACTTACCATATACTTCTACTAAGAGACGGTACACGTTCTCGTGGCGAAACTGCATGGCGATGTGCAGAGGTGTGTATCCCTGAAATTTATTATTTACATTGTTTTATCAAGACCACTAAAAAAATAGGAGGTTGGAACAGGACGGCACGCTATACATTTAACACAACGAAGTTTCATAAGTATGTATAAGATAGATAATATATTAATACGCGGTCATCTTTTAATACACATTATTATAGGATGTCTCAAAACAGTGCACCTTTAAGATGGTATCAGATATGAAATATTTGAACAAGAGATGGGGTGCGCGGGGCACGAAGCGCGCTTACACAGAGTTGTAAAGGCTCACATCTGCTCCCTGCTTCATTCGTTGCCCCCGTTTGCGAATCTAATACTTATATCCAATATTATCTGCGATAGATATTAAAATCAGTTTGATATTACTGGATATAATAGCAACGACAGCTGTAGCGTAAACTAAACCAGCACAAGGATCTATGGCTTATATTTAAACCTGATAATATGATAAATCACTTTTTGAGTCTAAATTCCAAAAAAAGAGTTTGTAAGTCATAACAAAAATGTCTATACGAATTAATATTTATAAAGAACAAATGTGGGTTTCTATTCTAAAGAGATGTAAGTACTTACATAAAGATGTCATAAAAAGACTATACTAGTTTTATGAGGAAGAGAGAAACATTAAAACCTTGAGTGGTACACAGATAAATTTACCAGCGCTTCCCTTGAATCCACAAGTAGTCCAGTAATAAAATAAAATTGTGAGCGGACTTACCCCATTCTACTTCCGTTGCCGACGATTCCGAACAGCACATGAAAAATATTGTAATGACACTTTAACGATACAGTAAAGTGGGGTAAATGCGTAGCTAGCAGCAGTAAGTAAATTTGATTAGACATTTAAGCTTCTAAGTAACAGTAAAATTAGCAATTTCTCTTACCGCGGGTGTAAGTAAACACATAATTAAGTTAGCCATTTACTCGACTGCCGCTGGATGTTTGATATTTCTTTTTATTAAGATGCTTTTAAAATAAGATTCAAATGCAAGTTCAGTGATTTGAGTAAATTTGCGGCGGAATCGATTAAGAGTTATAAAACATAATGAAAGCAATGTGTCAGTGAAATAAGTTTTAACAATATTTATTTGCCTTCTCTTAGGGCGCGCCACTACTCTATATTAAGAACTGTGTAGGTATACTTTCGCCACCGCACCGAAACCGCATCAGCGACGCAAATAATAATGTAAGATGGCGTTTTACCATACCACCATGCTGTTGTTAGGTATCTATTACTAGCTATATAGCAATCATTCGGATATGTCTAACATAAAGAGGAGAACACATGAGGGAACTAACCTCCTCATGTCCTAGTGGCCACAGGAAATTGCACAGGTCTACGGTCGCCGGCAAAATTCCAACTTGAGCGTACGGTTCAGCACGCGTCTCAAAGTGCTATCAGACCACCAGAGATAGAGCCCCCTAGGGCCGAACATCGTCGGGATTGTGAGTGCAAGGCAATGCTATACCACTGACAGTGTTGGAGCAGGAGGTCTTTACTTTTGGCTCATCCAGAGCTAGACATCAACAGATGATTATCCCTCTCAAAAAATTTTATATTCTTAAAGTCTTCTTTCATTACCTACTAAATGATTCTAGCAGTTTTTTGTTGTTTATACTTTGTACTTTACTAAATAAATGAACATTCAGTGGTGACGGTACGGTGGCGACGCGGTCACAGAATGGTGGCGAAAGCATACTCAGTATAAAGGCAAATGCGCGGCGACGGAACGATGTCGGCGCGTGTGTCCCTCAGGCAGGTAGATAATGTCTATCTTAGAAATTTTTTACTGCCGTTCATTTCTTTATCTCTTTAACGCAATTTTGAATTAACCAGTTGTATTCTAATAATTAACAATGTAATAAGTAAAATATGTTTTTTTATGCTAAAACGTTGTTACATTTTATGCAGGTAAATATTATTTTATACAACGTCGAATTGGTGTATTTTTTAGAAATGACTAGTTTTCTAACCGCGACTGTAATAAATTAACCGCAACGGTGATCTGGATCATTCTATAATAAAATTAGCATCGAAGTCTGTGAAGTAGTTTTAAGGATATGCATAGGGACATAGGGACGGGCAGCGGCAAAAAGCTTTGTTTTTTAGTTTGTAGTGACTAGTAATAAAACGTAACATCCAGGTTAACTTACGAATGCCGAACTCTGTGGTTTATAGTACAAATGAAAATATCTGAAGTAATGATTACTCACCGATCGTTCATTGACTACTTGCCGAGTCACCCCTCCAAGTAATTTCACTAAATTTTCATCACCACGCTTACAAGCCCAGTGCATTGCAGTCTGAAAATGTGCAATATTTCTATTATTCCTACATGCAAACGGTAATAATTGATTTGCTCATTGGTTAACTCTAGAAAATAAACACAAAGATGTAAAACCTGTTACCAAAATGTTGAAGTAAAAATATCAGATCTAAAGACTAAGACAAAAACTCGATTCTATCACGAACAGAGTTTAGTAGGTTGAGAAACAAATTGCTTGATTGTCAGCATTTTATTTTTATATATGTAAAACACTTTGATGGACAATATAATGCCGAAATTATAGCTCTTTATAATCGGAACGCATTAGGATGATTTGCATTCAGATTAAAGATTATATTTTGGTGAAGGTAGGTGTTATTAGCATAGTTATAGGAATTAGCTGGCTATCATCGTTAGTCATTTTAATATTTAAAATGTTAAAAGTAAGTGCAGTATAATTTTACAGAACCGTATTTTAGATGGAGGTAGCTTTAACTGTAGATTAGTTAGTAATTTAAGCATGTTTTACTCGTTGTTTAGCTTATAGTTTAAATGACTCTACGGTTAAATGAGTAGTTACTATACATGTAGGATTTTTACGTTAATTTCATGTTATTATTATGGAGATGATGTTTGACATGCTCGTTAGCCAGGTTGTCGCAAATCACAAGTCTAGCTACCGAGCAAGAGATGTTAGACAGTTTTATTTAAATGAGATTCAGTTACAACCCTAGACTTTGATACATGACCTCAGAGAATACCCGTCATTTTTTTACTAAATGCGGACTAGTCTCAGTCTAATCATATAAAGGACTTACGTGAAGTTGAATTAAAAATGCAAAATAGATTAAGGTTACAGATTATTTTGTTTTTCGAAATCAAATAGATTCTGTTTCTTAAAAACAACTATTACAACCATTTCACTACTTAAAAGTTCTAACACGATAAATAGGGTGCGGTGTGTTATAAAATAGTTCTTTTGGCTACGGGCGTGACATGTTTTGTTATCAGATCTTGAAGGTATTATCAACCGATCAAAAGTAGTACTTGCAGTTTTTAATTTACATAATTGATTTTAACACATACAAATATAGCAGAAGACAGATAACTTTTCAATAAGGTTTGTAAAAGAAAACATTTATTAACCGGATTGAAAAAATAGATGAGAATGTACAACATTGGTTGTTTTTGCTATATTGGTAGTCGCTACAGAAGCCCGAAAAGAGGGTTAATTAATAATATTGTTCTTGGTTCTATCAGTTCAAGTGAGTGATCGAGTCCGACTGCGAAGCGTCTCGCGGGACCCTCTATTGTTGGAGTGTATGGAGGAACTCCGTTTAGTAATTACTCCGACAACACAGTGTCGATGTTCTAGCCACAATTAATTCAATAAAATGTAATGAAGTTTTATAATTAAGTAACTTTTTAAGTAATTAGGCACTGAATAATACTGAACATGAATTGTAAGTTCGAGTGAGAGGGAAAATGTGGTACAATTTAGTGTACAAATTAAGCCCTAAAAATATCAAGAGCTACTAAATTCAGGTTAGCAATTCTATTTTAATCTAAGCCCGTAATCAAACAAATGAAAATTATAAAACATGTATTTTTATATTAGCAATCGCCTCATAAACATTGTTATTTCAATAGCTAAGATAATAATATTATCTTACCAAAGTATTAATATAGGAATATCGATATAGAAAAACTGCAATAAATATAGATTCACTAGTAATGCTATTGACCCACGCTCTAGCCGCGAAGCCCATAAAATGTGTCACCTTAGGAGTGCCAAGGTTTTCAGTCAGCAGTTCGGTCTTGGGAATATATATTACTTTATCCGAGCTGAGGGTACGAGTTACGTACCAATCGGCGTATGTACAAGATGTAGGCGTGATCGTCGCTGATTCAGTGGGGTAGTTAGTGGCGGGCGGTCCTAGGTTCGACGTCGCCCGGAGAAATATTGGCCCCAGGGGAAGCGCTGTTAATTTGCAGCGCACATTGGGCACAGGCACGATTTCCAACGTATCTATCTACCTACGCAGTTAGAGTTGACTGCATCAATATTGGTGGACGCAATTTTGTTCAACACAAGTATTTCTGTTGTTCTGTTAACTTTGCGAGTACATAATATACAACCAATTTTAACAAGAAAGAAATAACGTAGGCATCTCATTTTATAATAATTAAAGTGGTATAGTATAGTCATTTATAAGAGACATATTTTAATGTTGATGAAAGTTTTAGAAAGGCAAGAGTAATCGGCATGCTTTTAACATAAACAAAAGCATAAATTTGGTGGATATTTAATATACAAAGATATAGTAAGTACATTAGCAGCCTGTAGTTTTACCCTACAAAAAAAGTTTTTTTTTCAAAGATATCTTACACTCACGTGTTCGTTTGAAGCATCAAAAAAGGAGATTTCAACAAAAAACCAAGAAAAGGGAAATATGCCTTTATGAATTTTAGATACTCATTAAAGTAATGATCCAAATACATTCTGATATTAATAAAATAAAATATCAATAAAATATACTCACATACTAATCAACGCACGCATCCAGATCGTCGCCGTCGACAAGTATCCAAGAGTGGCATGAAATAGAAAAAATCTAATTAATTGCACATAATGGGTACATGAAATTATAGGGATCTTTTGAATATCCTTAAAATAAAAATCTCATTAAGGCGACGTTTCCGGGTCAGCGGACTATGGAATTTACAAATTTATTGTCGGCTAACCTAATAAATTTAAAACAGGATTACGTGGTTCGTGCACAAAAGCAAAGCTTTACAATTTGCCCGATATAAATCTCCCGTCTACGTCAAATGAGAGACGTATCATTTAAAACAAAACGACTTGAAAAGCTAGGATTGGACCTGTACATTTTAAAAGGATCTTTTACAATCCGTATCGTGGACGTGACCGACGAAACAAAGCAGAAAATGTTTTTTGGCAAAACAGAAAGTTCTAACTAACTAACCAATTTCAAAGCAAAGATAAAAGATACTGCTAAAATTAGATAGAGACAACAACACCGATGCACCCATGATAAGTTTACTTTTGGGCAATAAAAGTTTCCTGACTTCTATAGCAGACTTAAGGACAAATATCAAAACCTAAGAATCCGTCTGCTCTTTTGCCTCCTATTCCATAATAAAAAAGGCCAGGAAACCAGTTCTAAAACCAATAAAGTTATTCAACTTTTGTAGGTACATTTAGAAGCGTAAATTATTGTAGTCCATTATTCTAGACGCTTAAAAAGCAATGTTATGTTTTGTGACCGGTAACGGAAGAAAAAAACACCAACTTCCAAAGTGTTAACTTGCTTTAGTTTACGGATCGTAGATTTCTTTTAAATATTTTTTCCTCCTCAAAATATGGACATGAAGAATACTAAAATAGCTACTTTTTAAATCAAAATCTTCTCCTATCTGATGCGGTTAGCAAAAACTTTTCTCTTACTCCTCCGCATTTATAATCTCGAAAAGAATTTTGATATTTATAGAAAAGTTTCTGTGCACTTGCTTACGAACAAAATAAAAACAATGTGTATGATATAGGTAACAATGCTAAAACTAATAGCGAGACCTTTTCGTCTAGAATAATTCCCCAGTTACTGTATGTATGTGTGTAGTATTGTTTTGCGCAAGTGGCTATATCCACGAAAGGCGAGGACACGGCTCATGTCCCCGTGTGCCGACCAACATCCGCTACCACGTCATATTGATTGCGTTTGCATGTACATCAATTAGGATCCGCGGAACGATGCGTCTTCCACGCCACTAATTATCATCTTGTCACTGTGTAATTATGCATATAGGTTGACAGCGACGTTGATATACGTGTCGAAGTCAGGCTTACTATTAATCTCCTATCTAAGACGACTATGTCGGTACAATTACTGCCATTTTTAACCTATATTTTGTTAATTTTGTAGCTTATTATTTATATGATTATTGTCTTTTTAATATCTGCCATATAGCACAATTACGCAAACTAAAATACTTAACAAAATATATGGTATTTATACTTACACCCTGTGTGACGATCACCGCCATGTTGAGATAACCGGAAAAAAAGAAAAATTAAATTAACAATTTTATTTTTAAATTTATTGAAAATAAAGACTTACTCATTAAGAAATGAGAAAAGCTCTCTTGGTTTCAAGTCACATAAATAGTTACTATTCAAAAATTCAATTATTTTTAAAATAACAACCGAAGTAGAGTTTTTAGTAACTAAAGTGATTATGATGTCACATTGAGACCGAGATTTTGTTCAAATATTTGAATTGTGGAACCACTACTACTTACCGTAAAAGGATCCTGAAACAAAAGAAACTTATATTAATAACATAATCATCATCACACAATAAAATTAAACATAACTTTTTTCAGACCCACGAAAACTAATTATACTGCAATTTTCTATCTGTAACTTTCACACATGGCTGAAGATAGTTATTCAAGGATGTTTCACAACATTGGATCTATTAAATAACGTATTAAGCAAAAACTCTCAATTTAGTTCTTGTTATACTTTTCAAAAATAGTGCTCGATCCCAATCTGTTCGATTTGCGTATGGCATACAAATGCCATAGTCAAACCAATTAACAGACGTTTAAAACTAACAATGTTCGTTATATATTTATATGAATAATATATGATCATATTAAAAAAAGCATAGGTATTACCCAAAATTGAGAATCCCACTTTTGTATACACGTTACATTAACACAATAATCAAAGCATAGGTATACACATTGCTCTCATACATGACAGATAATATATATAATTTAAAAATGTATTCACGGCTAATCGTCGGCGTCTGAGTACTTATGTCAGAAGGCATTAACGCCGAACGAAAGAAATCACGGGTTGAATTTTGTAAAATTATCAAAATTGCATTAAGGTATATCAGAAGATAATCATTATTATAGTACATGTAGATATTAAATAAAATATAGGAAGCAGATATAAAGAACCATGATGTTGAGGTAATTATCAATTTAGTTTAAGTACTTAATTACCAAGTGTAAAATTAGTTTATTAGTCATAGTTAAACCAGGCTTGACGTAAAAAAATATCAAGAAAAAAAATCGTATTAGATTCATAATTAATAGAACGACCAGCCACTACAGCGAGCCAGTAGAGTATCAGTAACCAGTTGTAAGGAAATATAGCAGTCAACAATATTCTTTAATAATAATTGAAAACAAGTGGCGAGTTAAAACGGCGCTAAAAAAAGAGATTCTGTAAATGGTTTCAGGGTTATGGTCTTAAAAACTATTATTCTATTATATTTTATGTTTTCTTTGTGTGCGTTAGTAAGGCAATTCAAAGTTTATTTTGTGAATAAAATACTAATATTATTAAGTGTTTTCGATTCGCTCCCACGATACTGATCGAGCAATGAGAAAAAGTATTAAAGTTTCGGCGTAGTAGTCATAATGTACGCTTCGAACGCTCAGTGATCGCCGAATTACCTACTAAACTGTAAAAAACGTAGATAAAAGGTGGGGCTGTGCATATTCCCATGATCGGAAGACGGTCAGACGGCGTTTTAATACACCCATAATCGTCGATCGATGGTGGATCATATGAAATATGTAATACCGCTAATAGGTCTCGGTGGGCAGCTTCCTCAGCGGTCGCTCGGCCAATTTTGCCGTTGGTAATAACCTTAATATCCCATCAGTGCTATACCCCATGCGTGTACAAAGATGAGGCCGGGTAATGACTGTGCGACCGACGCGAGTACCCGCCCCTGCGACCGATAATTCACCTTTATTGAATAAATCTGTTTGATTACCGTTTTGCACGCCACGCTATGTCATTTCATTGCCCTTTTATAGAAATGATATGAATACAATAAATGTCAAATCTGTTTGCCATGTTAAGATTGTGCTGCTATTTTGTCTCGAAATAATTTTTATGCTTAAATATGATTTACTCGGTTTTTAAAAATAAAAAGGACACGTGGGTATCAAGACAAATTAAAATTTTTGAATAAAGTAGATCTTTTATTCTTGCGATTTTCCTTCCAGGCATTTTGTATTCTTTTTTTAAACAAGCAAAAGTACTGAAGGGAATATATAGGTAAAAAATAATTAAATCTAGTAATAATATTCATAGTATTTTTTTTGCGGATCACCTATAATTCGTAGTATTCTTCAAAACTAATTTGCGCGTCATCGTATACCATGAGTCCTAGCTGTAATATAAGGATGGTGAATGAGGATTTCTAAATTAAGAGGCTATTTATTATCATAAGTATTGCAGACGCAGTGACGCAAACATTCGTCGACAGTTATTAAGCGCTAGGACACTGCATCTGGATGGAAGGCGCGCGACGCCACAGTTGGCTACGATATTGTCATCTCTCTTGCTAGCGGCATCAGTTGCACTCACATGTCATGACATGTCCCAGCTAACACATAAATCAAAGCAGACAAATTTTACCACGTTATTTCTTTTATAAATACACAAGTTTCAATACGCTTATATCTTAATTGGACAATAGACAAGCAAAAAGAAATAAAAGAAATAATAATTTTAATATTATCAATCAAGCAACGACAACCCGATCAGCGCCAGTTTAAAAGTAAAATCACTACATAGTATAAAACAAAGTCGCTTTCTTTGTCCCTATATTCCTATGTAGGTATGCCAAAATCTTGAAAACTACGCAACGTTTTTTTTTTTTGTTATATATTTGGTATGGTATGGTATGATAAATTTGGTATCAACCTTATACTGTGCGAAGCTGGGGTGGGTCGCTAGTATTCCTTGCACTTGCTGAGCTGCTGTAAGATGGCACTAAAAATCTGATGAAAAACAAAATTTACTAGCGACTCTAATTTGCTTGCAGCTTGACGTTTAATACGTAGATAGGATTTTTAATAATCTGTAGATAATTAAGATCGATTTGTAGGCTTAAGAATTTTACATCTGCATGCAATGGCAACCTTTAGCTGGCTTGTGAGCCTCCTCAACGAAAGACGAGTTTACCTTAATCTCTTCTTTTGGCAAGTGAGTTGTGTAGATTGCATTTTAAAGGTTCAGGATCAGAGCGGATCTACGTGATCTCCAATAAATGTAAAACCATGGGAAGAGATATGTACGTAGCAACAAATATCTCTGCCGTCACGCGGCAGACCCAAGTATTCATTGTTAAGAATTTATAACGGACCAGTAATAATCATATAAGTACCAAAATATTAAAGACCGCAGACAAATAAAAAAATGTGGACTAAATTGTAACCAGCAATAATAAATGACTTTATTTAAAACTAATGTAATCAGACAATCGAATTAAAATAGAAAAACTACACGTCAAAAAAGGAATTAAATCATTTTTTCGTCTAGTACTTAATTTATATAACGACAAAGTGTATTCACAATGAAATGCACGCAATTCACGCAGTCGCTGTGTAGTACTTTTAACGTGTAGATATCGAATGAACGTTGTGAATTTAATTGTGAAGCTGTTAACGGGTGCACCCCGAGGATGTGTCGTTAATAGAGCGTTGTGTCTCTTCATTTTGTTTGAACGTTCACTGACTCTGTTATTTCGGAGCGACTAATAAATTGCGTGATGACAGGTGTCAGCTGCTCCACCGCCTCTGCACTCTTGCGTCGATGTCTCATTCCTCACGTTCTACTCCTAAATTCTCTTATTTTATCAACGCTTCGTTCAATTTTCGTTTCATTCTCCAGCGTGCATATTTGTTTGTATTACCGCGTTGATTCCACGACACAAAAGATTATCATGCTCATAAAATATCAATACATAACCTATTCAATGGTTGCTTATATTACAAAGTTTTGAGTTGTCATTTTTATATCGCAATAATGTATTATGGCTTCAAAATCTTCACAAAATTTTAAATAAAATTGATATTCTGTGTAATTTTTATGTTTGATGTGATTTTTATATTATTGTGAAAGGTATATTTTGTCACTACTGAAGTATCTCTTGCAATTTAAAACAAACGAGTTTAGTTATCGATACGTAATATAACATCTAGCTTCTTAAGGTTAAATTATAATAAATTCTGTAAGAATACATTGACATGATATGTACGGCTTTTCATTCATCGTAAATTTTACTACGTTGGGCATTATTACTGAGTGATGGTTGACTGACAACTAATCCTGCAGCCAGTATTGCATCATCATCATCATCATCATCATCAGCCTATAAGTGTCCACTGCTTAGCAAATGCCTCTTCTCAAACGGAGAATGCTTCAGCATTAATCACCACGCTGGCTCAATGCGGGTTGGCGATTTTAAACTTATAATTAGAAATTATATTTCCTCACGATGTCTACCTTCACCGTAAGCCAGTGGTGTTCAAATAATCATAGAAAGTACATATAGATAAATCGGAAAAGTCATATTCACGAGTCATTTATTGTTTCACCAGTATTGCATATTAATCTTTAACTAATTGAAATTAATCATGATAATTTAACTTTCTAACTTTCTTTACGTTGCAAAAATACGACAAGTTTCTAAGAAACTACATAACAACATTCACCAAAGCAATATTGCCAAAATATACTTCAAAATTATTTTAAAAAGAACGTTGAAACAGCCAAAAACAAACAACGTAGGAATGATATGATATAAATCAAATGATATATTTATTTCTTTTTACTATCGTTAATTACAGAAGGGCGTATATAAATAAATAAAGAACGCGCGCCCATTGAGGCGGCGTGGCGAGGCGATCGCCACAGCGCGCCTTGTCGTTACAAGCAAATGCACTTATCTTACCGGGATGTGAAAAACTGTTTTCAACTCGCTGTCGTCGGTTAGTTGCGCCAACACAATACACCCAATCCGTACCCGAAGTCAATGCCTCTAGAGGTTACGTTTGAACAGGATTTGGAGACCCAACAAAAAAAAAACAACTACAAATCGGAAAGGGTCTAACACAGAAACAATACTCATGTTTATTCTATTGTATTTTTCACGTTTTGCATTACAGATATTAAAGCAAATGAAGTCCATAAAAACTCTGTGTCGATAAAAATTAATGAATCGTAATTAAAGGGTAATTATGAGAGAAATACAATATATCATTTGAATTCAGACGCACCATCGTAAACCCGTCAGCAACTCCATGATAAAAATAAACAGAAGTCTTTGAAACATTATCGATACAAATAAATTGTCGGACCAAGAATCAATAAATTGGAAATGTAACTCGTAAAAACATATCATCGATTATTGTAAACAGCTGGCGGGCATTTATGCAAAACGAATCGTTCATTGGACCAATTCAACAGCGGTAGCGAAGATAGAAGAATTTTAATT